ACCCCTCCCCATTTTGGGGGGTCAGTTGTGGATCTTGAACTCCGGGCCTGGGCGCTGTCCCTCAGCTCCTCAGCTCAAGACTAGCGCTCTACCATTTGAGTCACAGCACCACTTCCGGTTTTCTGGTGGTTCATGGGAGATCAGAGTCTCACGGACTTTCCTGCCCGGGCTGGCTTTGAACCTCGATCCTCAGATCTCAGCCTCCTGAGCAGCTGGGATGCCAGTGTGAGCCACCAGCACCTAGCTTGTTCCCCTTTTTACAAACCGGAACCCAAGCTCAGGCAGGTGACTTAACTTACCCCAAATTGCATAACCGGTGTGTAGCTGGACCTGTGCTAACCAGAGTTCTTTCAGGCTCTAGAATCCATGTGCAATCTGGAGGAACAGACTTCTCACAGTTTCCACGGTGCCATGGAAACATCTAGAAGATACAGAAGGAGTCATTCTCCAGCATTGCTCAATGAACCACTGCAGACTGAGCCCATGGACAACAAGTATTTCAGCAGGCCACCGGTCTGGCATGAGGTCTCACGTAGCTCGGCTGGAGACGTGGGCAGAGCAGACCTCTCTAGAGCTGCTGCTAATCCATTTCCTCATTTTTTGCAACTTCTCTTAGCAAAACCAGCTTTCCGTATCTCTCTGACTCTCGGGCCCTGGCCAGGATACAGATTCTGTGCGCGTGTGTGTGTGTGTGTGTGTGTGTGTGTGTGTGTGAGAGAGAGAGAGAGAGAGAGAGAGAGTGTGTATGTCCTGGGACTTGAACTCAGGGCCTGGGTACTGTCCCTGAGCTTTTCCACTAAGAATTTGCACTTTACCACTTGAGCCACAGCACCACTTCTGGTTTTCTTGTGGTTTGTTGGAGATCAGAGTCTCACAGACTTTCCTGCCTGGGCTGGCTTTGAACCACAATCCTCAGATCTCAGCCTCCTGAGTCGCTGGGATGACAGGCGGGAGCCACCAGTGTGGGGCAGAGATTTGTTCCAGTTTTAAGGGCCCATGCTGGTTAGATTGGGCACAGCTATAAATAAAAGGAGGAAAAGCCAGCCATGTGCTTTAATTTTCTTTTATTTAAAACAGTCAGGCCCTAATATCTCGTCTGCCGTCCCTAAGCTACTCTGGAGGCTGAGATGTGAGGTCCACAGTTCGAAGCCAGCTTGGGCAGGAAAGTCTATGACACTCTTCGCCTCCAGTGAGCCATCACAAAGCCAGAAGTGGCGCTGTGGCTCAAGTGGCAGAGCACCAGCCTTGAGCGGAAAGGCTCAGGGACAGCGCCCAGGCCCTGAGTTCAGGCTTCAGGACTGGCACATCAATGACATCATCATCATGTAAGAGTGATGATTGGTTAGATGGAAGCCTGGTCACACACATTTGTGCGCTGCTGGGTCCTCTCTGCCCTCATATGTTTTTTGGTCTCTCAGAAGTCATTATTATCGCAGCAACCCCGCCAAAGACATTTCTGCAGAGAGTCCACCACGAGCCACACAAGGACTTTGGAACTCTGGAGGAAAATAAATAAGTAAATCAGCACAAGTAACGCTTTAGGAGAGGCTGCTTAGTGCCAAAATGTGTAGGGAATGCTGCAGAGCCTTGACAAGGAGTGAGTCACCGAGGAGAAATTCAAACCCCATAATCTGAGAGGAAGAGACTGGAAGGTTCCAGAAGGTTCCAGAAGGTGGTGGACTTAGAAAGAGGAGCTGCAATCCAGGTACCAGTGGCTCACGCCTGTCATCCCAGCTACTCAGGAGGCTGAGATCTGAGGATCATGGTTCAAAGCCAGCCCCGGCAGGAAAGTTCAGGAGTCTCTGATCTCCAATGAACCACCAGGAAACCAGAAGTGGCGCTGTGGCTCACGGGGTAGAGCGCCAGCCTTGAGTGAAAGAGCTCGGGAACAGCGCCTAGGCCCTGAGTTCAAGCCCCAGGACCTGGGGGAGGGGAAATAAAAAAAAGTAAGAGGAGCAGCAAAGAAGCTTCCAGAAGCAAGCACGAACCAAGATGTCTACTGCCATGGGTGGCTCATGGGGTAGAGATTTAGGGCCATAACCCCCCAGGAGGTGAAGGGGGGGGCAGGGAGGAGAGGTCACAGGTCAGGCCCGGGCTGATCCCCTGCTGCAGGTCCAACTCCCACCACCAGGGGGCGTGAAGGAGCCAAAATGGATCCTGACCTGAGCCAAAAAAAATAAATGTTATTTCCCTCACCCTTAAAAAATAAAGGAAAAAAAAACCAGGGAAGGGAAGAGAAGTTTTTCCACTCCAGCCTCACAGAGCCTGGACGGCCCGGCCCACGCCACGTGCTCTCTGACTCAGGGGTTCACCCAGATTTTCCTTTTCCAGTTCAGTCAAACCATATTTTTTTTATTTTTTCCCCATTTCTCCTTTCCTGGTGGCTTGTAAACGCCCTGTGACACAGCGTGGAAGGGACATTAAGAGCCCTTATCTCGAAATGCCCACGCCCCGGGGGCTACAGGAGGGGAACTTGCCCAAGAGAAACCAAAGACTCGAACTCAGATCCCACGCCACTTCCGACCTTCTTACAAGGACTCCTCTTGGCCTGGTGTTGGTCGAGCAATCCTCACAGCTCAGGAGGCTGGGATCTGAGGATCGAGGGTTCAAAGCTAGCTGAAGCAGAAACAGCTGTGAGACTCTTTATCTCCCCTGAACCACCAAAAAGCCAGAGTGGAGCTGTGGCTTAAGTGGAAGAGCACCAGCCTGGAGCAAAAAAAAAAAAGAAAGAAAGAAAGAAAAAGTGTGAGCACTAGTCTCTGAATTCAAGCCTCAGTACTAGCATTGCACACACACACACACACACCACACACACACAATTAAATTATATGTTATGTGGGTCTGAATATAAGGATGGGCTGCCTGGCCCTGTTTTCTAAATATAAATAATAATAAAATGTTAATTTTCTAAGCTCCCAGGAAGCCTTGTACCCACAATTACTCAAGAACTAGTTTCTGCTGTAAATAGAAATGCTTGCTAAATTCTTCCCTCCCGGCCAGCAGGAGGAAGGACATGGAAAAATAAAACCTCTCTTCCTCTTCCTCCTCCTCTCCTCCTCCTCCTCTTCTTTTTCCTTAGACCTGTTCTCTGGAGACAGATGGACAGTGGCCAGAGCTAGACACTCATGCCTGTAATCCCAGCTCCTCAGGAGGCTGAGATGGGAGGATCGCTGTTGAAACAAATGACAACCTGGGCCGGGAAGATCTGTGAGACTCTTAGCCCCCAAGAAACCACCAAAAAGCCAGAAAGTGGAACTGTGGTAGACAATGAGCCTCGAGTGGTAAATCTTAAGAGACGGCGCCCAAGGCCCTGAGTTCAAGCCCCAGGACCAGCACAAAGAAAAAGAAAAAACGTGTCATCTTGATCTGCCCTGATCAATCAGGATCAAAGTATAGGTTGGGACCCCCTGGAATATTCAGCCGAACCCCTCCCTCTCGGATTGCTACACCCCCCTTCCTTGCTTCCCTCTGTGGGAGCCCCAACCTTTGCCACAGGTTCTCCTCCTGATTTGGGGTGATTGATTCTTCCCCAGCGTGGGCAGGAAAGTCTGTGAGACTCTGACCTCTAATGAACCACCAGAAAACCGGAAGTGGCGCTGTGGCTCAAGTGGTAGAGCACCCACCTGGAGCTGAAGAGCTGAGGGACAGCGCCCAGGCCCTGAGTTCAAGACTTAGGACTGACAAAAAAAAATGAGCTGAGCAAACATTTGAGTTATATTCGTGTGTGTGTGTGTGTGTGTGTGTGTGTGTGAGAGAGAGAGAGAGAGAGAGAGAGAGAGAGGGAGAGAGAGAGAGTAGTGGAGCCTGAATTCAGGGCCTGAGGGCTGTATCACAGCTTTGCTTCTCAGGGCTGGTGCTCTACCACTTGAGCCACACCTCCACTCCCATCTCTTTTTTTTTCCAGTCGTGGGGCCTGAACTCAGGGCCTGGACACTGTCCCTCAGCTCTTCAGCTCAAGGCCGGCGCTCTACCCCTTGAGCCACAGAACCATTTCTGGCTTTTTCTGCTTAGCTGGTGCTGGGGATTCGAACCCAAGGCCTCATGCACGCGAGTCGAGCACTACACCACTGGGCCACCTTCCCAGCCCCCACTCCCATTTTTTCTTTTTTTTAATTTGGCTGGTTAACTGAAAAATCAGAGTCTGGGCTCTGCTCCAGTGATCCTCAGACCTCAGCCCCTCCCTGGGTAGTGTGCACAGAGGTGTGCAAGCCCCTCCACAGGTGGCTTCTAGAGGTTTTTCTGTCCTGGGCGTGTTCTGCTTTTCCCATGATAAAGACACTGAAGGACATTGCAGGGGGGAGGGGGAGGGAGAGAGAGGGAGACAGACCGAGACCTCGCCAGGTTGTTTCGAAAGCCCTAGGATTTCCACCTGGAGCCAGGTAGGTCAGGGAAGTGGAGTTTGCATACTTGGGTCCCAGAACGTTCTGGAGTTCCAGCTTCCTGCCCCCGGGGGGGGGGGGGGGGAGGGAGGGGAGGGCATTCCAGCTCCAGGGTCCGGAAACCAGACCGATCACAGGGTGTCCTCCCCCGTGGGGACACTTGAAACCACTTAATCGCCCTGCAACACGGGGGGTAGGGGGGAGAAGAGACCCCGGGATGGTCAGGAGGAAAAAGGGGGGGACGAGGAGGAGGGTGGGGTGAGCGGGAGCGCGAAGTCCTGGAACTTGGACCCCGGGTGGGCGTGGCCCGCGGGGGTGGGGCGTGGCCCGCGGGGGTGGGGCGTGGCCCGCGGGGGTGGGGGCGTGGCCCGCGGGGTGGGGCGTGGCCCGCGGGGGTGGGGCGTGGCCCGCGGGGGTGGGGGCGTGGCCCGCGCGGCTTTTCGTGGGAGGGGGCGTGGCGGACGCTTTCCGCCGGGGCGTGGTTTCAGGCTGTGGGCGTGTCCGGGGGCGGTGCCGGCGGGGTGTGTCCTCGCGCGTGGGCGTGGCGGGGTGGGGCCCGGTGGGCGTGGCCTGGCTCCCGGGGCGCCTGCGCACCGCGGCCCACCGCGCGCCTTTAAGGAGTGGCACTTTTTAAAAGTGCAGCCGGAGGCCCAGCGCGTCGTCCCCCCCGTCCGCACCGTCGGGTCCCCCCAGCTTCGCGTGCCCCCCCGAGTCTGCACACGGCCAGCATCATGCCTGTCAAAGGAGGCACCAAGTGCATCAAATACCTGCTCTTCGGGTTCAACTTCATCTTCTGGGTGAGTGGGGGGGGCGCGTCCCGGGGTCCCGGGGTCCCCGCGTCCCCGCGCCGGCTCTGCCGGGGCAGCGCCGGGCACAGGCTCCGGGCGAGGCGCGGAAGGGGGGAACGCGCGCGTTTGTGGGGTGCCCCCCCCTCCTCGAGAATCGGGGGCGCTGCTCCTCCACGGGCAGGGGAGCAGCGGGAGGGGGGACCCCGGCGAGGGGGCCCCTGAAGACCGACCTTGGCCCCGATCGTTTAGCTGGGGAATTTGGGGTGGGGGTGGTGGGGGACCAGGGAAACACCAACAACAAAAGTGGGGTTCCGTCGGCTCGAGTTGCGAAGGGGGGGTGCCCACACGTCCTCGGGGAGATCGAGCCCCCCCCCGCTGGCCGGGGGGGTAGGGGATCCCCGTACACAGAGTGGGGGTGCAGGCCGGGCTGGGCCTCGGCGGGAGGAGGAGGGGGTTCGGGGGCCCCCGGGCCGTGGGAACGTCCCGCTCCCCTTCGTGGAAGACTCGCTCGTCCTGATTTCCTCCTCCTCCTCCTCCTCCTCCTCCTTCCCGGAGTGAGATACGGATCTCCAGCCCGGCGAGGGCGGAGGGCCGGGACCTGGCGCTTCCGGGACCGATCGGGTGTCCCACCTGCGGGCTGCACCCCCCTGCCCGCCGCCAGGCCCGGGTCCTTCCCGGGCCTGCGCCCCGAGACCCCCCCCACTGCCCACCCAGGCCCAGAACCCCCAAGGCGGGGAGCGGGCCGAGGCCACCCCAGGAGTCAGAAGGACCTTTTGTGCCCTGACTTCCCCAGCTCCAGCACGGACGTTTGAGGCCCTGTCTAGGAGCTCCCGCCTGTAATCCCAGCCACTCAGGACACTGAGAGCTGAGGGTCAAACGTTGGAGGGTATAGCCCCAGTGGGGGAGCCCCAGCCTTGGATGGCAGTTCCCAGGCTGCACACGCGCGCACACACACACACAGACAGACACACAGACAGACACACACGCACACACACCCTCAAAGGTGGATTTTTATCACCCTCAAAGGTGATTTTTATTTGGGGGGTCACCCTTAGGAGACAGGGCCATAGAAACAAGTCGGGGCTCAACCAGAGGCCCGTAACCACACAACAACAAAACCAAAAGAAAAGTTGGCAGGTCCTGAGGCCGGGCCCAGTGGGGAATCCGAAGGAAGCAGAAAACACAGAAGTAGACACCCCGTCCCTCGCTCTCTCCCACCGGACCTGCCACCTTGCTGACTTCCTGTAATCACTGACGCTGGCATCACCCCAAATATGTCCCAAGGCTCCTCCAGGCCCCGCTGGGCCCCGCCCTGCCCCGCCCTGGCTCTGTGGAAAGCTTTTGGCTCCCTCTGCCCAAGTCTGTCTTGGTGAAGGTGCCAGGCTGTCTGCTTAGAAAGCATGAAGCTTTAGGGCTACTGGAGTGGGGGAGATGGAGGAAGGTGGATCTAGACTTGGCACAGTGTGTGTACCCCCCAAGTGCACTCAGTCTGTGGCATGCCAGGCCTAGCAAGAGCAACATGCTGCAGTTAGGTGTAGCTTGCTTTGCATACTCCTCCCAGGCCCGGCCGGGACTGTTAGGTTGTGCTCTAGGGTTGGGAATGATGATTGAGATGAGGTCCTGAGATTCCCTTGCGCACAGTGAGGAGACAGAAAACCAGAAATTGGGGTGAGGTATGTTCAGGATCCCTGGGTCCCTCCTCCCCTTCTTCCCTCTCTCATCTCCTTCGTGGGAAAAGAAGGGGGAAATGTTAGCAAATTCATTTATTGTTCACTTGTACTAGTTTGGGGCCTTCTAGAATCAAAAGCCTGGTCTTCTAGAACATGGTAAAATAAAGGAATATATACTCCCATCCAACCCCCCATCCCGAGAGGTTAAGTGACTCTGTGTGTGTGTGTGTGTGTGTGTGTGTGTGTGTGTGTGTGTACACACGCATGCGCATACATGCCAGTATTGGGGCTTGATCTCAGGGCCTGAAGAGTGTCCCTTAGTTTTTTCCACTCAAGGCTGGCGCTCTACCACTCAAGCCACAGCACCACTTTCAACTTTTTGTTGGTTCACTAGAGCAAAGAACATCACAGGCTTTCCTGCCCGGGCTGGCTTTGAACCACGATCCTCAGATCTCAGCCTCCTGAGTAGCTAGGATGTCAGGCACCCCGCAGGTTAAAGGACTTCATGCAGGGTCAGCCCGCTGGGGTCGCTCTGAGGCTCTGAGCCTGCGCAGCACAGCTATCTGCAAACCGAGCAAACCAAGTGTCCCATGCCCACAGCCCTGCCAGCGATCGGCCTGGTTTTTCCAACATCCCAGGAGCCAGACTCTCCCAGCCTATTTTTGGTGGTTCCTGTGTTGGCGACAGATCTGCCCAGTTCATTGCCCTCATCCCCCGCGAAAAGAAAAGAAAGGCTGAGCGAGAAACATCTTCCTCATGTTAGAGCCCACCAGTATTCTAGGTGGGGAAGTGGGAAATCCAGGCTTTGGCCAGGCCAGAAATGTGTCCACTGTGTGTGTGTGTGTGTGTGTGTGTGTGTGTGTGTGTGTGTGTGTGTATTGCAGAGTTGCAGCTAGCTCTTATTCCTGAGCCACTCTGGACTGCGATCCTCCTGATTACATTTCCCCCATTTTCCCAGGGAAATAGCAGACTCCCACCCTTGTACTTGAACAGATACGTAGCTCTACCCTGCCCAGCCTGGGGTGGAGATGGAGTCTCATGAATTTGGGGGGGGGCACAGGTTGGCCTCAAACTCTGATTTCCTCAAGCTTACTTCTCCAGGCAGCCCTCGGGAGCTTTGGAGTGTGTTTTGCTCCCGAGTTTTTGTTCGTTTGGAGACCAGGATCTTGCACTCTAGCCCAGACTGGCCTCGAACTCTTTCCCCTCCAACCTCTGCCTGATCTTTTTCCTATTCAGGTCCCCACCCCACCCTCTCCTAGCTGAAATCCTAACTGAGATCCTCCTTGGACGAGAAGAGTTCAGGGCAGGCGTGGGACAGCCTGGCTGTGCTGGAAATAGGAAGCCCCCCCCCCCGCCCCTCCCACCCAATAGCAAGGGAAGGGTGTCCTCCCTCCCCCACAGAAATGGTATCTCCTGTATCTAAGGAAGGTGGCTTGAAAATGTAGACTGAGGTCTGGATGCAGAGACCTGAGTGTATATCAGTTCCATTCCCAGCTTGGTTGAAAACCTTGGGGCAGAGGGGGGGAGGGAAGGAGGGGGGAGGAGGGGGGATTGGCTAGTCAGGAACTGGTGGCTCACGCCTGTCATCCCAGCTCCTCAGGAGGCTGAGATCTGAGGATCACAGTTCAAAGCCAGCCTGGGCAGGAAAGTCTGCTAAGATTCTATATCTAACATGAATCGCCAAAAAGCCAGAAGTGGAGCTCAAGTGGCTCAAGTGGTAAAGCGCCAGCCTTAAGCAAACAAAAGCTAAGGGGAGAGTGCCCAGGTCTTGAGTTCAAGCCCTAGTACTGGCATAGACAGACAGACAGACAGACAGACAGACACAGAGCAATTCCCTCCCAAGAGATAGAGCCATTAGAACCACAGATTTAGCTCAGAATCTTCCACACTCAACTCTAGTCCTTGGAGCTTGAACTCTGGGCCTGGGCGCTGTCCCTCAGCTCTTCAGCTCAAGGCTGGCGCTCTACCACTTGAGCCACAGCACCACTTCGGGTTTTCTGGTGGTTCATGGGAGATAGAGTCTCACAGACTTTCCTTGCCCAGGCTGGCCTCGAACCACGATCCTCAGCTCTCAGCCTCCTGAGTCGCTGGGATGACAGGCGGGAGCCACCACCGGCGCCTGATACCACCTGCTCTCTCTCCGATCTCTTTGGCCTCAGTTCCGGCCTCCGTCCCCGACGGCAAAGCCAGACTCCATTTCATGTGTTGTTACAAGTTTGACCAGGTTTAGAGGTGGGTGGGGCCGGGGAAGAGACTGTCTGAAAATAACACTGCTGTGCTGAGAAAGTTCTAGAAGGCCTGTGTTTCTGGTGTTGGGGGTGAGCCATGGCTGCAGAGTCCAGCCTCCATCACCACCACCACCACAGCTTTCTGCCTTTGGCCTGTTACCTAAAATGGCTTCTCACGGCTGGAGCTGGAGCCGGGGGGCGGGGTGCTCTGTTTGTTCTGGAACTTTCCAGCGGGACAAGAGGTGAGCTGAGGCCAGGTGTCTTCCCGGCTAGAGACAAACAAAACACAAGAGGTGTCCGGTCCCCTGTCCAGATCTTTCTTACGATGCTTTCTTTAAACCAATCCAGGGTGGCCAGTGTCCAAGATCCTGACTCCTGATGTCGGGGTGAGAGAGAGTCTTACACAGACAGACAGACAGACACACACACACACACACACACTCTCTCTCTCCCCCCAGACCTCGCTGTCTGCCACGGCATGTGGAAGGCTTTTGATAAGCAGCTACATCCGGGACTTCTTGTCAGCATCTGCCCCCCAACATGAGCTTTCTTCCGTGGCCTACCGGTCTCCTCACCCCTTCCTTTGAGGGGTGCGTGGGGGTGGATCCTTCCTTCCAATAGCCCTGGGGGAAGAAGGGGGTGGTTCTCTGCCCCCCCAGTTTCCTGTCCGGTTCAGTTGGAGAAGGAGGTAGGGTATCTGGGGTGGGTAGAATGATCTGGAACTTACTAGCAGCTGGAGCGTACCATGGTCTTTTCTGTCGGTCACTAGCCCGCAGGGCTTGGCTTGGGCAACCCAGACGACGAGGCCCTGAGTTCAGGTCCTCCGCGCTTCCCTCCGAGGGAAGCCTGACACTCCTGTCTCATCGCTTTAATATTTTCAGCCCCAGCCGGGCGCGGTGCTGCACACCTGTAGTCCCAGCCACTCACGAGGCTGAGATCTGAGGACAGAGGCAGGAAAGGCCCTGAGACTCTGATCTCTTCAGGTCCAAAAAGCCAGAAGTGGAAGTCTGGCTCAAGTGGTAGAGCACCAGCCTGGAGTGAAAATAAGCTCAGGGGCAGCGTCCAGGCCCTGAGTTCAAACCCCAGGGCCGACACACACACGCACACACACACGCACACGCATCTCAGTCTCCAGCTCTGAGCCATCAGGAGAAATCCATGGCAAGTGGAATTCCGGGGACACACGGTACAGCTCTTCCTCCATTTCGTAGCTCTGTAGTTGGGAATCTGCCTCCATGCCTGGCATGTTCCTTTCCATCACGGGTGTGGGCAGCTGTGGGGAGCGGTGTCCTGTCCCCCAGATGAGATCACTTCATCATGATGAAGGCCAGCCCGTCATTTCCTCCCCCTTCCCCCCCCACCAAAATAAGAGAATGACTTCATGACTTAATGGTTGGTAGCTTGGAGCACGCTGCGCACAGCTGACGTCATAGATTCGGAAATCGTTACCTTCTTAAAGAATATGATAAAATCAGAGGGTCTTCCTTACAGACAAAAGGGAAGGAGGGAGGGAGGGTGGGGAGGGGCAAAAGGGAAGAGGAGAGAAGGAAAGGGAAAAAGAAAAAAGGAAAGAAGGGAAGAGAAGGGAAAGGGAGGGAGAGAAAAGGAGGGAAGAAAAGAGGAAGAGAAGGAAAAAGAAAGCTGGGCACCAGTGGCTCCCGCCTGTCATCCCAGCTACTCAGGAGGCTGAGATCTGAGGATCGTGGTTCAAGGCCAGCCCGGGCAGGAAAGTCTGATCTCCCATGAAACCCCAGAAAACCAGAAGTGGCGTTGTGGCTTAAGGGGTAGAGCGCCCGCCTTGAGCACAAAAGCTCAGGGACAGCGCCCAGGCCCTGAGTTCAAGCCCCAGGACTGGTACACAAAAGTAAGTCTTAAAGAAGGGGCATTTCCCATCTTGGGAGTTATGGAAACATGATCACTCCATGACAGACAGACAGACAGACAGACAGGAGCTGCTGGCCCAAGCGCTCAAGTGTGTAAGCAAAGCGTGTTGTTTACAGGGTGGAAAGCAAATGCGTGGTCTCCTGGAATTTAAGGGAAAACACCCACAAATGACCCTCCACATCAGATGATTTTGGTTAAGAGCAGAATGGCTGCTTTCAGGAGGGGGGAAAAAATGAGAGAGAGATTTATTTCTGGACTAGGAATCTGGCAAGCCTGCCGTGGAAAGTTGAATGAGCCTTCTACTTGAGAGAGAAATCTCCCGTGCTGGGCAAAAAAATCTATATCCAGCTCCACCTACAGCCCCCCCCCCCCCCGCCACCCAGGACTTTGGGTTTTTTCCCCCTTTGGTTTAGTTTGAGGTGGTTTGTTAACTGTCTTTTTAATTTGGGGGCATTATTGGAGATTGGAACTCGGGGCCTTTGGTGTACTTGGTAGACAAGGCACTCTACCACCTGAACCACGCCTCCCGTCCTGATTTTTGCTGGGTGTTTCCGGGACAATAGGCTCTCGTGAAGTTCGAGAATCCTCCAGCAGGCCAGGATTGTGGCTGTGAGCCATGGAAGCCTGGCTTGGCTGTGTTATGTGTTTAAGATTTTTAAAATGATCTTTTTCTAGAAACTGAGTTGGTGGAGGTCACAACTCAGCTTGGCCTAAGAAATCTGGAAGCTTTCACCAAGATCTTGGGGACTAGCTGGGCACCGGTGGCTCACACCTGTCATCCCAGCTACCTGAGATCTGAGGATCGCAGTTCGAAACCAGCCTGGGCAGGAAAGTCTGTGAGACTCTTATCTCCAAGGAACAGAAAATCAGAAGTGGTGCTGTGGCTCAAGTGGTAGAGCGCCAGCCTTGAGCTCAGGGAGGCTCAGGGACAGCGCTCAGGCCCTGAGTTCAAGCCCCATAACCGACAAAAACAACAACAACAACCTGGCACACCATTTGAACCACGTCATTTGAACCACGTCTCTACTTCCAGCTTTTCTTTTTGCTGGTTCACGTAAGAGTCTCAGAGACTTTCCTGCTCTGGGCTGGCTTTGAACCGTGATCCTCCGATCTCAGCCTCCCGAGTAGCCGGGATTACAGGCGTGCGCTCCTGCACAGGACACGTCCCTGAAGCCGTGCTGGGCTTGCGGCGTCTCCTCCCTTCTGCTGAGGGGGACTGCGTTGGGTTTTGTGGTTGAATTCATAACGTGGGCCTGGATGCCAGAGAGACCCCCGCCCCCCCCCCCCCCCCCCCCCCCGCACAAGAAGTTCTAGAACTTTCCAACAGTCCTCCCTTGGCCTCTGCGCTTCCTCTCCCCAGGCTCTGTGGGGTGGGGGAGGAGGCAGGTGGGAGAGGGTGAGGGCAGCCTGTGACGGGGATCCTGTTTGTTCTTGCTTGGAGCTGCCCGCGCCCCGCCCCGGCCTGGCACTCCCTGCCCAGCCTGGTTGCTATGGAGACGGGCGAGGCCAGAGGCCCTAAAGGAGGTCTGACTTTTGTTTTGAAATGTCACCGCCTGTGTGTGTGTGTGGACAAGGTTGGAGTGGGAAGAAGGGGGGAGTGGGGGAGGAACCCCAAAGTAATCCACCTGCCCTCATTCAACCCAGGAAGGAGTCAGGCCTGAGCTCAGCCAGGAGGCTGAGATCGGAGGATCGCGCACTCCACTCTGCCCGCCAAAAACAGCGGGGAGAAAGCCACTGGGACCCGCACACCCAGGCCCTGAGTTCAAGTCTCACCAGCACACACAGAAAACAATAATAATAGGAATGTAAGACCCCCCTCCACGAGCACAAAACACAAACCAGGATGGTGGATCTCTTCCCAGCCTCGACTTCCCAAGACAACTGAATAAGGAGGAGCATTTCTGTCCTTTATTTACATTTGAAACCCCTGGGTGGATCCCAGTGGCTCACGACGGTCATCCCAGCTCCTCGGGGAGGCTGAGCATCGGAGGATTGAGGTTGAAGGCCCGCCTGGGCAGGAAAGTTCCTATGATTTCCTTCTTAGTTCCTAGCTGGGGCACGGTGGTGCACGCCTGTAATCCCAGCTCCCCGCGTGGAGGCTGGGATGGGAGAGGATCAGGGTTAGAGAGCCGCTGGACACGGTACTGAGCCGCAAGACGTCGACAAAGAGAAATCCAGAAGGAAAAACAGGGGTAGAGGCGTGGCTTAGCGGAAATAGAAAGTTTAGCCCTGCCAAGGAGCTGAGTTCAAAACCCAGTACCACCAGCACTGCACAACAGAGCAGCGGATAGAAGGGAGGTGGAAGGGCTGTTTCTTTGGCCCACAGTCTTCCACCCGCAGTCCCTTCCTTCCTCCTCCTCCTCCTCCCTTCCTCATCTTTGTATTTGTGCCAGTCCTGGGGCTTGAACTCAGGGCCTGGGCGCTGCTGAACTTTTGCCCTCCAAGGCCGGTGCTCTACCACTTGAGCCACAGCTCCACTTCTAGCTTTTTTTTTGGGGGGGGGGGGAGATGGGTTCCTTGGAGATAAAAGAGTCTCACGGACTCGTCTGCCTGGGCTTGGAAACGCTCTCAGCCTCCTGAGTAGCTGGGATTACAGGCGTGCGCACCGGTGCCCGGCTCTGCCCCAACTTTCTAGACTTTGAATGAAGCGTTTGGTCCTCTGGAATTGGAGGCATTCCGGGAATTTCCAGGTGTGCATCTCAGGGTGAGGGTGAGGCTTCTGGGCCTGGCTCTCCTGGTGATGTTCGGTGACTCACCAGCTCCTGACCTTGACCGAATGTCTCCAGGGGAGGTGTACTTTTAGGGAGTCAGGGAGAAGCTGGGGTGTAGCAGCATGGTAGAATGCTTACCTGGCGTGAGCGAGGCTGCGTTCCAGCGCTGATCCCAAAAGTAAACCAGAGATATACAAGGAGCCGCTCTGATGTGTGTGTGCGTGCGTGTGCGTGTGTGTGTGTGTGAGTGTGTTCACCTCTGTCTAACCATCGCCCAAGTCAGTCATGAGAATATCAAGGCTGAGCACTAAAGGCTCACAGGTGTAATCCTAGCTGGCGTGGGAGGCTGGGAATGGGAGGATCCTGGTTGAAGGCCAGCCCTGCTAGGAAAGCTCCCTAGACGGGTTCTCGACGCAGAGCGGGGTACACCTGCCGTCCCAGGCCTGATGGGAGGCTGAGCTTGGGGGAGGATCGCAGTTCCAGGCCACTGTGGGGTAAAACCGTTCGTGGGGTACAATCTCCACGGATTGGGGGCGGGAGGGACAGCTGGAGGGAGTCTAAATGTGGGGGGCGCCTGTCTAACAAACCTCCCAGGGGCTCTTGCTGTTGATTGAGCGTTCTAGAATGTTCACATAGCATGGCACGTGGCTGTCTTCGTTCACCGTACCATGGAGTGTGCGCATGCGCATGCCGGACCTGGGACTTGAACTCAGAGCCTTCACTTTTTGTTTTTCAATCAACTAACACTTTCCATCGCCTGAGCCGCAGCTGTACTTGCTGGTTCACTGGCGATCAGAGTCTCACGGACATCCCTTCCCCCACCCCGGGCTGGCTTTGAACCTCGCTCCTCAGATCTCAGCCTCCGGAGTAGCTGGGATTCCAGGCGTGATGGCTAGCGCCCGGCCTGTGTAGTGTCTGTGTCCGTGCGGCACCTGCGTATCCGCCGTACTCCTGGGAGGGATATTGATCCACTTGCTGGTATTTGAGGGGTGTTTCTGGAACTCCCAACTGCCCATCGTGGGGGTCACGGGAGGGGGCAGAGATCAAGAACGAGCCCCAAAGCTAGCCTGTCTCCCAGCAGTGGGACTCACGGCCGCGTCCTCTCTCTCTCTCTCTCTCTTGTAGCTGGCCGGCATCGCGGTCCTGTCCATCGGACTGTGGCTCCGATTCGACTCTCAGACCAAGAGCATCTTCGAGCAAGATAATAACCACTCCAGCTTCTACACAGGTAAGGGACTACAGGAGACCCCTCACCTTCTCCGCCTTTAGAGACCCCATGTTGATTCAGGCAATGGAGCCTGAGAAACCCAACGGCCACAGAAGCCACTCGCGGTCTCTTTTTAAGCTTGTGTAAAGTGTGTGTGAGTGTGTGTGTGTGTGTGTGTGTGTAGCTGTGTCCATGGCGCCTGCCTTGGGTGTGTTTCCCGGCATGGGAAGTTAGCTCCAGTGAAGCTGTGGCTCTGTCTGTCCAGGGCTTCAAATCCTCCCCTCCCGTCTCTCCGGCTCTCTCCTCATTCTCTGACTTCTACCTCCTCATGCCTGAGCTTTTCTCTTTTAATTTTTTTTCTGGAGGGCGGGGGCCATTAGTGGGACTTGAACTCAAGGCCTCAAACCCCTGAGTGCCTTTTTCATTCAAGGCTGGTGCTCTACCACTAGAGCCACACACCTCCGTGTCTGGCTATTTTTTGCTGGCTCCGTGGAGGTGAAAACGAAGAGAGTCTCGTGGACTTTCCTATCCGGGCTGGCCTCAGATTTCCATCCTCGGAGCTCAGCCTCCTGAGTAGCTGGGATTACAGGCATGCGCCACCAGGCCCGGCCGTTTCTTTCATTTAGAAGCCTTTGTCCTGGGAATGGGCAGTACTGGGAAGGAAGGCCCGTGTCTCCCTTCCCACCCTTCCGGTAGCATCTCAAGATCTAGAGGACAATCAGTCTCTTGGGTGAAAACACAGTTGATGTTAATCAGGGGGCTGGAGAGTAAATAGGGAACAGGGCTCCCGCCTGTCATCCCAGCGACTCAGGAGGCTGGGATGTGAGGATCGTAGTTCAAGGCCAGCCTAGGCAGGAAAGTCTGTGAGACTCTGATCTCCCATGAACCACTAGAAAACCGGAAGTGGCGCTGTGGCTCAAGTGGTAGAGCGCCCGCCTTGAGCTGAAGAGCTGAGGGACAGCGCCCAGGCCCTGACTTTCTTTCTACCTGGGAGCTCCTAGTGTCTGTTTGTGTTCAGTACCTGGGTTTGAACTCAGTGTCTTGAGCTTGCTCCGCTGGCTTAGGATGCTGGTGCTCTACCACTTGGGCCACGCCTCTCACCTGGCTTCTTGCTGCTTATTTTGGAGGTAGCAGCTCACGCAGCCTTTCCTGCTCAGGCTGGCTTCGAACCACGATCCTCTGGCTCCAAGCCTCCTGGGTAGCTGGGATTACAGGCGTGAGGTACTGGGCCTTAGCATCTTGGAGGAGCGATGAAAGGCTGTCACACGCTACTTGGCCGTTTCTCATAAACTCGGAGTCTGGCTGTCCTTTTTTAGGCCTGACTTGGGGATGTGGCCATTCGCGTCAGACTCCACGTGTCAGTTTGGTCATTTCCACCCACCCACCTAAGTTATTTTGAGGCTGAGCAAGTCATCCAAAGTGGGAGGGGGGACTCAGACCAGAGAGACAGGTGTATGTCTGTGAGCGGCCGGGCATGGCGGCTCTAGCTACTCAGGAGTCAGAGATCAGAGAGATCAGAGAGGTTGGTCTTGGGACTCCATCTCTAATCTATAACGGATGGGTGTAGTAGCTCCCGCCTATCATCCCAGCCACGTGGAGAAACTGCAGTAGGAGGATCTCCACCTAAGCCTTGGGCAGCGAGTTGAGACCTGACCTGGACGATGTGCTCCAGGTAAAAAAGGAGCTGGAAAGTTCAGCAAGACACTGAGTTCAGATCCTGGTCGCACCCAAAACATAAAAGAAGAACCAGTCCTGCAGGTTCCTGGGGAGCCTGGGTCCCCGTGGCTGGTTGCCAGGGTTTCCTGGTCTCCACCGCGAAGGGAAGCGAGGGTTGGGGTGTGGCTCTTGGTGGCCAGAAAGAAAGTCGGAGTCTGGAGTCCCCAACTAACCAGCAAAAAGCTGGGGCAGTGGCTCAAGAGGTAAAGCGCCAGCTTGGAGCACAAAAGCTTAGAGACGGGCTCAGGCTCTGAGTTCAAGTCCTAGGAGACACACACACACACACACACACACACACACACACACACACACACACAGTGCACCCATAGGCAAAGAGCCAAAGAAGCTTTGCTTGTGATCCCTCCCCAAAGCCCTTCCCCGAGCCCTTCCCCTCCTGTGCGTGTGCGTGTGTGTGCGCGCGCGCGTGCGTGTATGCGCCTTGTGCTCTTGATTAGCTTGATTCCCTTCCACTCAAGCCTGGTGCTCTACCACTTGAGCCACACCTCCACCTCCGGCTTTGCGCTGGTGGAATGAGTGGAGATCAGCGTCTCTTGGCTGCGTCTGCCCAGGGCTGGCTTTGAACCTGCCTCCTCAGCTCTCAGCCTCCGACGGAGCGGGGATTACAGGAGTGAGCTACGGGGTCCTGACTAATCTATGTATTTGTTCTTTCTCGGTGACTTGGCATGGACTTTTTTCTTTTTTTAACCAAAAGGAGAATAAACAGCCTCAGGCATTGGACTCTGGGTAATCCTCAAGGAAGCGCTGAGCCGAGGAAGTTTTTCCGTGAGTCAGACAGTGTTCACTGGCTTTATAAAGGGGAACACGCCTTCGGCCATTACCAGCAAGCCGGCTCCACACAGCTTTCCCGAAAGACTTGGAGAAAACCCCAGCCCAGGGCTTGGGGGCGGAGCTCTGTGGCCGAGGCTTTCCCAGCATGCCTGAGGCCCTGGGTCCAACCTCAGACCCTGGGAGGAAGGGGAGGGGAAGGGGAAGAAAGGGGGGTGGAGTGAAGGAAAGTCACCCAAGCTCTCTAGCAATCCCAGAACTCTTTGGCGTGACAGGGAGACCTGCTTTCGGTTTTTGTGCTGGTCCTGGGGCTTGAACTCAGGGCCTGGGCACTGTCCCTGGCTGGCCTCAAACTGTGATCCTCCAATCTCAGCCTCCTGAGGAGCTGGGATTATAGAGGTGAGCCACAGGGTTTGGCCAGATTCTGTAGGCAGCATTCACCAAAGCAATCTGCCCTGCCTTCCCTTAACTCGATAGGGCTATTTCTGGGTCCTTCGAGAACTTGCTGGAGCCAGTGAGCAGACTTAAAGCCCACCAGACTCTCTAGTTTAAATCCTCCTCTCCTGAGCCTCCATGTGGCAATATTATTCAACCTCTCCTCAGAGGCCCATTAAGAGAATTTTCTCATTGGAGCACCGGTGGCTCACGCCTATAATCCCAGCTACCCAGGACGCTGAGATCTAAGAGACCCAGTTCAAAGTCAGCCCAGGCAGACACATCCAAGAGACTCTTCAAGCAACCAGGAGAAAAAGCATGGCTCAAGTGGTAAAGTGCCAGCCTAAGACAAGAACACAAGGCCCTGAGTTCAAGCCCTGGTACATCAAAAAGGAAAAAGAAAATTTAAGAAAGAGAGAGAGAGAAAGAAACAAAGAAAGAAAAGAGGGCTCGGCAGGTGGCTCAGTGCTCGCCTGGCACGCATGAAGCCCTGGATTTGATTCCTAGTACCACATACGCAGAAAAGTCCAGAAGTGCACTGTGGTTCAAGTGGTAAAGCCTTGAGCCAAAGAAGCTCAGGGACAGTGCCCAGGCCCTGAGTTCAAGCCCCAAGACTGGCAACAAAGAAAGAAAGGAAGGAAAGAGGGAGGGAGAGAAGGAAAAGAAAAAAGCCAGGCTCTGGTGGCTCCCGCCTGTCATCCCAGCTCCTCAGGAGGCGGAGATCGGAGGATCACGGTTTGAGGCCAGCCTGGGCAGGAAAGTCCATGAGTCTCTGATCTCCAATGAGCCAGCAAAAAGTTGCAAGTGGTGGGCTGGGCAGGTGGCTCAGTGGTAGAGCGCTTGCCTTGCATGCATGAGGCCCTGGGTTCGTTTCCTCAGCACCACATAAGCAAAAAGAAAAAAGCCGGAAGTGGCGCTGTGGCTCAAGTGGTAGAGCAAAGCTCAGGGACGGCGCCCAGGCCCCCAAGATGGCCAACAAAGAAAAAGAGAAGGAAGTCAAAAGCATTTTGTGTGGGGGTCTACACAGAACTGTGGCATTTTTTTTTTAAACAAGGCCAAAGTTGGGGCTCTGATGTCCGGTACCCCCAATTCCTACCAGGGGTGCCAGGCTCCACGCCCCTGTGCTACTCAGGGAAAAGCCCTGGCGCTGGGTCGGCCCTCCCAGTGGGGTTTTGGTTGCTGGCAAATGCTGCTCTCTCCCAGTGGCTCCCCATTTTCTCACCCCTGGCACCCCGATGTGCCACCTCGGCTGTGACCCGGCTCTCCCCCTCCCCGTGGAGGGATCTGGGGTCCCCCAAGTCCAGCCTGTGTGGGCCGCGGGGACCAGCTGGCATTTGTCCCCCGGCCCAGTGCAGGCCGGGCGCTCAGGGGAACAATGCGCACATTCATGCCAAGCGGGGCTTGCCAGCACGCCCACGTGATGGCACCAAGACACACAGACGCTCCCTGTGTGCCCCCTGCTCTTGGGGGAGGGCTGCAGGGGGTGGGGGGTCCCCCGCTGTCTGCTGCCCTCACTACGGGGAACCACACATGGGGGGCTGTGACCTCACCGCCAGCTGCCATGCAATGTGTGCGTGGGGGAGGGGGAGAGGGGAGGGGGGAGAGGGAGGGGAGGGGGAGGGGGAGGAGGAACAGCTCAAGTGCAGCCCTGACTCTGCGGCCCCAGGTTCGAGGACAAGGTTTTCTGGTGGTTTATTGGAGATCAGAGTCTCACGGACTTTCCTGCCCAGGCTGGCTTTGAACCGCGATCCTCAGAACTCAGCCTCCTGAGTCGCTGGGATGACAGGCGGGACCCCCTCCCCTGCCCCGGTGCCTGGCGCCCTGGTGTGGTTTTATAACGTGATTACCCACCCTTGTGTCCTCCAGATGAGTCACCGCATTTGTTGCCCAGATGTTGGTTGGATCATTTAATCCTGGCAGGAATCTGCGTGTGCGTGTGCGTGCTTGCGTTCTGCCACTGAGCTACATTCCCAGCCTCGGCCATCTGTGTGAAAACGAAATAAATACCCAATGGGGCAAAGGAGCTGAAGCCTGTAGTCCCGGCTGTTAGGAAAGTAGAGATCAGAGACTCGCTGTCCCAGGCCAGCCCAGTTGTAAAGGTTTGCTAGATTGCATCTCCCATCTATGGCTGGGCACGGTAGCATACGCCTGTCATCCCAGCTATAGGGAAATTGCTACAGCTGGACACAGCAGGCCTGGCCTTGAGTTCAATTCCTCGTCACACACAAATCACAAAGTCTTGCACAGCCATCAGGCAGCTCATGCCTATAATCCTAGCTATTTACCCGGGCGCCGGTGGCTCAAGCCTGTCATCCTAGCTACTCAGGAGGCTGAGATCTGAGGATCACAGTTCAAAGCCAGCCTGGGCAGGAAAGTCTGTGAGACTCTGATCTCCAATGAACCACCAGAAAACCAGAAGTGGCGCTGTGGCTCAAGGGGTAGAGCACCCGCCTTGAGCTGAAGATCTGAGGGACGGCGCCCAGGCCCTGAGTTCAAGCCCCAGGACTGATACACACACAAAAAAAAAAGTACTGAAGGGTGGTGGGGAGGGAAGGGGAGGGGAGGGAGGGTTAGCTTCCACCCTGTTGTAGAACTGGCCTTCCACGTCAGACATGGTGGGTTTCCAGGCTGGTGCTGGCACGTTTGGGTAGAGCCAGCCTTGTAGCACAGAGAGGCTGTGTGACCTCTCTGCGGGTGACCCGCAAAGGGCAGGGCAGTTCGCTGTGGGCGGGGCCCCTCTGGACACCCCGCCCCAGCCTCCCACCTCAGGAATGTGCGTTGTTTGGGGTGTAGGCACTGGCTGTCTCCCCCATTCCCCCCTCCCCATGAGCCTCCAAACACCGGAGACCTGGCAGTGGTGCCTTCCAGCTAAGAAGGATCTGTCCCCCCTTTATGAAGAGTCCCTACCACCTCGGTGCACTCTGAAGATCTCTTGGAACTCTCTAGCAGCCTCCCTCCCACGCTCTCATTTTGCTAGGAAAGGAAACTGAGGCCCAGCTAATGGGCAAGAGCTGGCCAGAGGTCAGCCCAGCCATCGGATCTTCCAGCCAGGCACTGGTGGCTCACACCTGTCGTTGTAGCGACTGGGGGGAGGCTGAGGTCGGAGGATCCCAGGTGGAAGCCAGGCCGGGCAGACAAAGCGGAGAAACTCCTTTATCTCTAATTAACCAGCAACCACCACCTTTCGACGTAGACGTGTGGTTCTAATAATAATAATAGTAATTAAATTTACATTTAGGAAGTCTTCTGATGTCCACCCAGCCAGGGGAGATGATCCTAACTGGGGTGCACAGGGCAGGACACCCCAAAGCAGGGGTGGACACAGCGTTCTGGGGGAGACTCCTCCAAGTCCCAGGATGTGCGTCCATCCCATTTGGGGGTGTCGGGGACATGAAGTCGGGGGGAGAGGAGGAGGCAGGAAGCGAGGAAGGCCAGGAGGGCCCCGGCTCAGCCTGGGGTCCTCTCCTCTGCTCACACCCACACCCCGTCCTCAGGCGTCTACATTCTGATCGGAGCAGGCGCCCTGATGATGCTGGTGGGCTTCCTGGGCTGCTGTGGCGCTGTCCAAGAATCCCAGTGCATGCTGGGGTTGGTGAGTGTCCCTCCTGTGTCCCCACGTGTCTGTGTCATGGCCACCGCCATGTTGGTTGGCCGCCATGTTGGTGGGCCAAGGCCCCGAGGCCTGCCCTGGAGTAGGCATTGCTTTCCCCTTCCTCCGGATTCCACGTTTGTGTTTGTTCCCCCCCCCTTTTCCTTTCTCCACCTCTTGGTCAGGAGTGTGCCCCCCAAACTCCACCGTGGGTACCCCAAGTCCACGGTGAGTGTCTCATGGCCCCCTGACCGCTCTCCCATCCCTCGCCCGCTGTGGGCTGGAGCTGGGCCTTACCCTCTTGCTAGAGGGTGAGAGTCATGACTCTAGGCTGCCCCTTCTGGAAGGTTCATGTGTGACACACACACACACAGTTCCAGACACCAGCTGATTTTCACAGCCAGCCAATTGGGGGCTCTCACCGCATCCTCTCTTCCCAGTTCTTCGGGTTCCTCCTGGTGATCTTTGCCATCGAGATCGCTGCGGCCATCTGGGGCTATTCGCACAAGGATGAGGTGGGTGTGGCTGGGAGGGTGGAGCTCTCTTAGGATCCTGTCTGGGGAAACTGAGGTCTGGAGAAGGAACACAGCTCGCCACAGGTCACACAGCCCGACACTTAGCAGTGTGGGGGGGAAGATGGGCGCTACTCAGAAGGCTGGGATAGAAGGATCAAGGTTCGAAACCCCAGTCCCAGCTGACAAATCTGAGAGGTTCTTATCACCAATGAACCAGGAAGAAAACAGGGAAGAGATCTACCCAAGGTGGAAGGGAACAGGAGAAAAGTGACCAGGCCAGGTTCTTAGAGAAGGTCAAACGAGACCCAGGGAGAGGTTGGTCTACCTGATGCCATTTTCCAAGAGTGCAGACATGTGGCCTTGAAAAGAGTGGCTGCGTGCGTCACACGCCGGTCTGTGCATCCCAGGTGATTAAGGAGGTCCAGAAGTTTTACAAGGACACCTACAGCAAGCTAAAGAACAAGGATGAACCCCAGAGGGACACTCTGAGAGCCATTCACTATGCGGTAGGTTTCTCTTTGCCCGTTTCCGGGGGCCTGGCTGCACATCCGGGTCCTTCGATTCCAGTTCTGGGTTGTTTGTTGTTCGTGTGTGTGTGTGTGTGTGTGTGTGTGTGTGTGTGTGTGTGTGTGTGTGTTCACGTCTCACCCCCATTTCTCCCTCCTCTCTGCAGTTGAACTGCTGCGGTCTGATTGGAGGTGTGGAGCAATTTATCTCAGACATCTGCCCCAAAAAAGACCTTTTGGACAACATCCAAGTTAAGGTAAACTGAGGAACTCTCCGGTGCTACTGCTCCTATTGGCTTTGGATGGGGGGGGCACACAGGGGAAACAGGAAGTCATTCGTCTAGATCTCTTCTACCTCGTGGTGGGAGAGTGAACACCGCATTGCTCCCATGCCCTGGCCTCCTGGGACAGGCCTCAGTGGTGGACAAGTCACAAACGTGCAAGGCTCACGCCCGCCATCCTAGCTACTCAAGAGGATGAGAGCTGAGAGGATCAAGGTTCAAAGCCAGCCCGGGCGGGCAAATCCAAGGAACTTTAACCCCTGAAGAACCTAGCAAAAAGCCAGAGTGGAGGTGTGGCTCAAGTGGTAGGACACCAGCTTTGAGAGACACAGCTAAGTGTGTGAGGCCTTGAGTTCAAGCCCCAGTACTGGCGTGTGCGCACACGCACACAGAGCGCGTACCAGAACTACTGGATTGCCAAGGGCCGAGGGCTGGTCTTCGGTGCCTTTAACCCTAATTACACAGGAGACGTGAAGAACGGAGTGTCTGAGCCAGCTCAGGCCAAAAATAACAAAGTCCCGAGACTCCAGCTCCAGCCAATCAGCAGAAAGGCAGGCTGGAGGCATGGTTCAAGCAGGAGAGCACCAGCATGCGCAAGAAAGTAGCTCAGTGGAGGAATGGCTGCCTTGCATGCCGTCCCCAGGCCCAGCAAAAGAGGGGAGGAGAGGGGTGGCGGGAGGGAGGGAGGGAGGGGGGAGGGGGCGGGAGGGAGGGGGAGGGGGTGGGGGGGAGGGGGGAGAAGGGGGGCAGGGAGGGAGGGAGGGGGGTGGGAGGGAGGGAGGGGGAGAAGGGGGGCGGGAGGGAGGGGGGAGGGGGGAGGGAGAGAGGGAGGGAGGGAGGGGGGAGGGGGGGAGAAAGGGGTGGGAGGGAGGGGGGAGGGAGGGGGGAAGGGGCGGGAGGGAGGGAGGGAGGGGGGAGGGGGGGAGAAAGGGGTGGGAGGGAGGGGCAGGGGGGGCGGGGGGGGAGCCCCAGGCTTCTCCCAGGTGTCACGGGGGTCCCCAGCCCCTTCTCAGGCCACCCGTTCCCTGGGGGCGGGGGCTGAGGGAGGGGATTTGGTGACCCGGAAGCGACTGTGTGACCCCGGTCCCCTTTGCCCCCTAAGCCCTGCCCCGATGCCATCCAAGAGGTCTTCGACAGCAAGTTCCACATCATCGGCGCGGTGGGCATTGGCATCGCCGTGGTCATGGTGAGTGGCAGGTGGTGGGGAGGGCGGGGCCTCCTTCCCAGGTCCACGCTATGAGCATGCGCAGTGAGGCGGGGCCTCCTTCCCAGGTACCACTCTGAGCATGCGCAGTGAGGCGGGGCCTCCTTCCCAGGTCCACGCTCTGAGCATGCGCAGTGAGGCGGGGCCTCCTTCCCAGGTACCACTCTGCGGGGCCGCTTTCCTAGGTACCACTCCCTGAGCATGCGCATGAGGCATGGCCTCCTTCCTAGGTACCACTCTGAGCATGCGCAGTGAGACGAAGCCTCCTTCCTAGGTACCACTCTCTAAGCATGCGCAGTGAGGCGGGCTGCTTTCCTAGGTAGCACTCTCTGAGCATGCGCAGTGAGGCGAGGCCTCCTTCCTAGGTACCACTCTGAGCATGCGCAGTGAGGCGAGGCCTCCTTCCTAGGTACCACTCTGAGCATGCGCAGTGAGACGAGGCCTCCTTCCTAGGTACCACTCTCTAAGCATGCGCAGTGAGGCGGGCTGCTTTCCTAGGTAGCACTCTCTGAGCATGCGCAGTGAGGCGAGGCCGCCTTCCTGGGTACCGCTCTGAGCCTGCGCGGTGGGTCCTCCCTGCGCCTGCGCAGTGTGGGGGCGCAGGGCCCGGCCCGGCACCGCGGGGAGCGCCACAGAACCGCGCGCAGGAAGATGACGGACGCGCCGCGGACCGGGCTCGGGGCCCCGGGGCCGGGCAGGCGGCCTGGCCCGCGCGAGGCGGCGCGGCCCGGGGGTGGAGCGCCCGCCTGCAGCCCGGGACGCCCGCGGGCCAGCCCCGCCGCCCCGCAGGCTGCGATCGGACGCCCGCGGTTCGAACCCAGCCTGGGCTGGAAAGTCACTGAGACCCTCGCCTCCCACCAACTGCCCAACAGCGAGCTCCGGCCGGTCAGCGGCTCCCCAGGCGGCTCGAGGCCGGCCCGGGCAGGGAAGGCCGCGACGCTGATCGCCCGAAAGCCGGACGTGGCGCCGTGGCTCAGGGGGCGGAGCGCCCGCCTTGAGCTCAGGGCAGCGCCGGGCCCGAGGTCAAGCCCCAGGTCTGGCATCAAAACAACAACAGCACGAGTCAGTTTCCGCTAAAAAGACACGATGACACCTGCTTCTAAAAAGAAGGTGAAATGCAGCCACACCAGGATGAAAAGTGAATACTGACCTGGGGCTGGGGCGTGGCTGGGCGGAGCTGCGGCCTCAGACCCTGTTACACGCACACACGCACGCGCACGCACGCACACGCACGCACATGCATGCGCACACGCACACGCGCACACACACATGCACGCACACGCGCGCACACGCACGCACGCGCGCACACACGCACGCACGCACACACGAACACACATGCACACACACGCGCACACACACACGCACATGCACACCAACGCACGCGCACGCACACACACATGCACACGCACACGCGCACACACACGCGCGCACACACACACACGCACGCACGCCTGTACCTCCCCGCAGAGTCCTAACCCCTGTAACAGCTGCTGGAATTTGAGCTTTCAGTCCTGTCCTTAGAACCTGTCAAGTCCACTGGTCCTTCTCATTATCCAGCCTTCATCTTCATGCTTTAGAACCTTATTTTGGGGGGGAGTGAGGGGGGGCGTCAGTCCTGGGGCTTGAACTCAGGGCCTGGGCGCTGTCCCTCAGCTCTTTCACTCAAGGCTGGCGCTCTACCCCTTGAGCCACAGCGCCACTTCTGGTTTTCTGGTGGTTCCTGGGAGATCAGAGTCTCACGGCCTTGAATTTCAATCCTCAGACCTCAGCCTCCTGAGGGGCTAGGATGACAGGCGGGAGCCACCAGCGCCCGGCTCTTTCGTACCTGCTAACTCCCAGAAGCCTCCTGGGTGCTGTTTCCTTAGTCGTTTGTCCTAGCGCCTACCTCGAGATGAAATCGCCCCTACCCTTGTGTCTTGCAGATTTTCGGCATGATTTTCAGTATGATTTTATGTTGTGCCATCCGGCGGAACCGGGAGATGGTGTAGATTCGGCTGGCAGACAACCTGAGCAGGAGACTTCACCCCTGATAGCGTTGTTGCTTGTTTTTATTCTTGTTGCTGTCCTTGGCTTTGGTGTTGTTTGTTTGGGGTTTGTTGTTTTGTTTTTTTACCACTAACAGGCTTCCTTTCGCATTTCTAAACAAAAGTCATCCCTCCCTGTCTCTGTCATGCATTACTCCATATTGACATGGTGGGGCTAAGATTTAGGGGTTTGCTTGGCTTTCGCCTTCTATTTTTAAAGATATTTTGTATTTTGTATTGTGCTTGCTCCGTGTAGCAGAAATCCTGCAAAGAAAGGTACTCCGCAGCCCAGACTCTACACAGAAGATGTTGTACATAGAGAGAAAATGTTCTGTTTTGCCTTACATAGATTTAAAAGGAAAAAAAAAAGTCTATCAAATGTAATCGGGTTGTAACTTATATTTGAAGACAATTTGATACATAATAAAAGATGATGACAATATGTGAGATGCATCTGGGAGGTTTGCTTCCATTATTTCCTTTCATGTATTGAGTTAGTTTGGTTTACTGGGACTTGAACTCAGGGCCTGGGTACTATCCCTGAGTTTTTTCCCACGCTCGGTTGACGCTCTACCACTTGGAGCCACCGACCGCCCCGCTTCGGACTCTTCGCTGGGCTTCATTGGAGATCAGAGTCTCCTGGATTTGCTTACCCCAGGCTGGCCTCCAACTAGGATCCTCCAGATCTCGGCCTCCTAATGAGCTGGGCTGACAGGTATGGGCTTCACAAGCACCCAGCTTCAAGCGAAGAAGTTGGATTTGAAACCGGCTTAGGGACAAGGGATCGGGGGATATTTTCTGCCCCCAGCCAGCTCAGCCTTCCCTGTGGGTCTGGTGCATTGATCTCCACTGCCCGTCTGGCCCTGCCAGATCTCCGGAGAGCTAATTTGATTTCTCCCCTTTTTTAAATTGGATTTTTCCCCTAGGCCATCTGCTTCCCCGGTGGAGTGCGGGGCAGAATAGAACTTGGTTCAGTACCCTGTAGAACTGCAGGAGCCGCCAGCACCCACTCGGTCTGACTCCCCTCCCTCGCTACCACCTGGGGACGCAGAGAGACCTGGGTTGTGTTTTGGGTTTGGGTGTCCTGGGATTTGAACTCAGGCCCTCACAGGTGCTTAGGCACCTCCCCAGCCCTTCTTGCTTTATTCATTTCTCCAATAGGATTCTCCCACTTTTGGCCTGGGGCCCAGCTTATTGGTTGAAACTTGGATGGGGGCGGAGTCTCCTCGTGATTTCCTGAGTAGCTGGGATTACAGGCAGGAGCCACCACACCCAGACAGTCACTTGGGGACCTGTACAACTTAGTTGGCAGTTACACTGCCAAGGGCAGCATCTGTTGCAGATGACGGAGACAATGTAGACTCATGATGCACTGCCTGGTCATAAAGAAGAAGAACATCCTGGAACTGGTCATTACGTTAATCAAAAGACAAACAGAAAACAGAAAGACAAAATGCCACACATCCCGAGTTCTCTCACTATGTCTGAATTAAAACAGGCAAACCTGAAAGGAGAAAAGAGACTACAAGAGATTGGAGGTGTGGAGGGGCTGGGGGGGGGGGGGTGGGGAGATCAGAGATGGATGGATGGGTGGGTAGATGGATGGATACGTGGACAGATGGATGGATGGGTGGATGAGTGGGTGGATGGATGGGTGGATGGGTGGGTGGATGGATGGGTGGAGGGTGGGTGGGTAGATGGATGGGTGAGTGGATGGATGAGTGGTGGATGGTTGGGTGGATGGATGGAGGGTAGATGGATGGGTGGACGGAGGATGGATGGGTGGATAGGTGGGTGGATGGAGGGTGGATGGGTGGGTAGCTGGATGGGTGGGTGGGTGAGTGGGTAGATGGGTGGGTGTATGGATGGATGGATGGATGGGTAGATGCATGGATGGATGGATGGATAGATGGATGGGTGGATGGGTGGGTGGGTGGATGATGGATGGATAGAGGGTGGATTGGTGGGTAGATGGGATGGGTGGGTGGATGGAGTATGGATGGGTGGGTAGTTGGGTGGGTGGGTGGATGGATGACTAGGTGGATGGATGGATGGATGGGTAGATGCTTGGATGGATGGGTGGATGAAGGATGGATGGAGGGTGGATTGGGTGGGTAGATGGGTGGGTGGGTGGATGATGGATGGATGGAGGGTGGATGGGTGGGTGGAAACATCACACTGAACCCCAATACTATATGCAATTAATCTGGACCCCAGTATTATGTGCAATTAGTACGTGTTTAATGATGGTGGTGATGGTGCTGGTGGTGGTGATGATGATGATGTCGGCACTTCGGAGGGGAAAACAAGCAGGAAAAGCCAGCCAGCCACCTCCCTTTCCCCAGAAGCGCTCCCTCCCCTCCACAGCGGTACCTCTGTGCCTGTGAACCCTAGCTACTCAGGCGGCTGAGTGCCACGCCTCCTCCGGTGGAGTCTGCTTAGCATGGGAAACCAGCTTTCAGACCTGAGAATGGGGCTTCACAGAGACCTATCTGTGAGAATGGGACTTCACCGAAGTCTACCTCAGAGAATGGGGCTTCAAAGAGGCCTACCTCCTGGAAAGGCTGGCAAGCCCCTGGGAAAGATGTGTTTCTGTTCCTGCTTTTCTTTTCTTCACTGTATAAGAGTGCCTATTAATCTTTTACTGTTCCTGCTGCTCATTGTACTTACTCATGCTCAATGTTCCCTTATTCAAAGCTCTTTCTTAAGAGTGTTGACGACTCCAACATCTGATGAGTGTCTTAAAAATATGACTAACTCACCAGAGTTAAGTGCTACCCTGGAAGCCCCTCTTATGGAGGCTAGTAGACAAGCTATAAGTAAATATAAAAGTATTGGGGGTTTCACGAAGTCACTCCAGCAGAAGGAATTGTTTGTAAGAGATTTGCAAGAAGCTGTAGGCCGGCTAGAACAGAAAGAATGTATGGCAATTGCTGGGATAACTACTTAGGAGAAAGAACTTCCTGCTACTCTCTTTCATTTACTAAGAGACTTGCTAGATCTAGGCCTCCGTGGCGCTTACTATTACAGAAGGAACAGGAAAGATCTTATGGGACAGTTAAGGCCTCTATAGAAAAAAGTAGTGGTCAATTGGTGATAAACATCGAAACCCATTGTATTTCTTAAAAATAGAGATAAAGCCGGAAACAAGTGCCTATCAGGCGACCAGCTGGTGACCACCCAAGAATGACGCCCTGCAGCAAGATTGTGTAACCTTCTGCCCTTTCTCCTGGAGACTTTTGCTATAAAAGCTTGCTATCCTCTGCATTAAATCGCACTCAGCATCCACTCCTAATGTGTGTGAGTTGTCTGGTTGCCATCTCCCCCCTGTTCCAGTTCCTCCACTAGGTGTCCTCCGCTGGTCCGCAGCAGCTGAGATCTGAGGTTGGCGGTTCAAAGCCAGGCCAGGCAGGAAAGCCCATGAGACCTAGCTCCCAGGAGTTCAGATCCGGCCTAATTCTGGGAGAGGACGGGAAGTGCTCAAGGCTGGCGCTCTACCACTTGAACCACAGCACCACTTCCAGCTTCTTTTGTGTCTGTGGCACTGAGGACTCGAACCCAGGGCTTCATGCATGCTAGGCGAGCGCTCTACCCCTGAGCCACCTGCCCAGCCCCGTGGAGATTTTTTACCTTAATAAAATATCCATCTCCCAGCCCTGCCCATGCTGCTGAGCATCGCCTGCCCTGCGTTATTTATTCCATTTCCTCTCATTCTAGTATTCTAGCTTATTCTAGTCTATTCTGTTTCTCGAGGCCTGGTGGAAGCCACTAATTTAATAGGAGCCGCTAATGGGCTGTGTCTCCCCGTTGAAACAAATAAATACCACCCTAGACGCTCTCATTACTCAACTCGAGCTTCAGCGACCAGAAAAAGCGAACCAGGAGCAGCGAGGCCCAAGAACAAAGAGACCATTCATCAGCCCAGTCCAAGCCTGACACCAGCTCTCGGCCTTCCATTCGGACTCTTCGCCTTGCAGCTACACACACACACTGCACACACAGCGCACGCACACTGCTCTGGTCACGTGACCACGCCCGGGGACATCGGTGACCTCCCGCAGGTCACCACACCCCCACAGCCCCCGGGGCACTTTCTCCACACCCCCCCACCCCGCTTTTCCTCACTGCCGCCTCTCGGGAGGCTGAGATCCGGAGGATCGCTATCCACAGCAGCCCACCCAGGGGCAGCGGAGGAGAGAGACCCCGTCTCCACAAGAAGCAGCAGGAATAGCCCGAGGCCAAGGAGAAAACTTCAGGGTGGAGCCACGATCCTGAGGGACAGAGGGGGACATAATTAAACAGACAGTCTGTCATTAGCTCATTTCCGTTTTCCTCCCTGCTCCTGGGAGGCTGGGACTCTCTCCTCACTTGAAGGGAGAAATCTGGTTTCTCCTGACTCCTGTCCCCGGGGTGGGGGTGGGGGGCTCCCCAAGCCCTCATTTGGGGGTGATCTGTCCTGGGAAGTCCTGCTGATCTTTCCCTTGGAGCTGGGTGTCACTGATGGCAGAGTAGATAGAGCGAGCAGACACAAACAGAAAATGAGGACAGGGCCAGGTGCCGGTGCTGCCGCCTGTAATCCCAGCCAACTCGGGAGGCCGAGGTCTGAGGATGGAGGCCGGGGAAGGGAAAGTTCATGAGACTCCGGCCTCCCCTGAGCCGGGAGTAGGGCCGTGGTGTGAGGGGTAGAGCACCAGCCTGGAATGGAGAAAGAACTAAGCCAGAGCAGGAGGTACTGAGTTCAAGCACCAGAGTCAAAAATACATAACACACAGGAGCCCGGCGGGCGGGAATTGTGCCGCGGGGTTTACGGTTACCAGGTCTCGATGAGAAAAACAAACAGGTTAAGGAAGTCTCTGACTCACACACTGTGAGCAATGGGGCAGGATTTGAACCCAGCACACACCACACCTGGAAACCCACAGTTTTGTTCACCCATGAGAAAGGAAGCAAGAGACACCGAGGTGACACACACGCACACACAATTATTTCCACTTGCGTTTCTATTTCCACACTTCTCTTGGGACAATCTACCGCCTTTGAGCTCATGGTTAACATGCAACTGAGGCCGGGCACCGTGGCTCACACCTGTCATCCCTGCCACTGAAGGAGGCTGAGCTCAGAGCATGACAGTGCCAAAGCCAGCCAGGGAGAGTCCACGAGACTTGAACTCAGGGCCTGGGCGCTGACCCTCAGCTCTGGCTTTTTTCTGTGTCTGAGGTACCGAGGAATCGAACCCAGGGCTTCATGCATGCTAGGCGAGCGCTCTACCACTGAGCCACCTGCCCAGCCCAGAAATGGGCTCTTCACTGACTTATGTAACTGTGTCCTCTCCGTACATCACCTTTATCACAGCAATAAAAACGTTTAAAATGAAGCCAGAGGGAAGAGGCTAGTAGAAGGAGGGAGAGAGGAAGCGTAGACAGGAAGCCCAGACTTGGGACACACGGGTGGGA